TTCTATTTTTCCTATTTCCTATTTTTCTATTATTTCTCCTCATCCTCTCTTTTTACCCAATCCCTCCTCACAAGTCTGATTTACTTCCAACTACTACTTCCTTCATCCACACCCTTTTAAAGAATTTTTCCTTTATACTCTCCCCTTCCCCTCCTATTCCTTAACCTACCCACCTCTCTAAGAATCCTGCCCTTCTTCTCTCTCCCCACCATCCTACTTCTTGATCTATATACTCTTCTAAATGTCCCTCCCTTATCCTGTCCCCTCACCCTTGTATTTCTTTATAAATTTAGAAGACTTTTATACCCTTTTAGATGTATATGTTATTCGCTCTCTAACTCAATTCTCTAAGCAGCCCTGCACCCTGACCTTCCACTGTAACAGTTCTTCCATTCATGTTTCCTTTGTATGAAATAATTCCTCCATTTTGCCTCTCCCTCCACAGTTTTATTTTTTGGAATCATCCCATCATACTCCAAGCCTTCTATCTATGTATGTTCTTTTAAACTACCCAAGTAATGATAACATTCTTAAGGGTACAAACAACATTTTCCTATATAAGAAGTAAATAGTTTGATTTTATTGAGTCCCTTATAATTGGTCTTTAATGTTTACCTTGTGTTTCTCCTGAATCTTATATGTCAGATTTTCCAGTGAGTTCTGGTCTTTTTGTCACAAATACCTGAAATTATTTTGATTCATTAAATGTCCTTTTTTTTTTCCCCTTCCCATTCAGGATTTTTCTGGATATAATAACTGGATAAGTTATTGTTTTGCAAACTCAGCTCCATTGCTCTTTGAAATCTAGTGTTCCAAGCCCTTCAGTCTTTTACTGTAGAAGCTGCTAGATCTTGTGTTATCCTGACTGTAACTCTGTAGTATTTAAATTTTTTGTTTTGTTTTTTATTTTTTTGCTTGTTATATATATATATATATGTGTGTGTGTGTGTGTGTATGTGTGTGTATATATATGTATATATATGTATGTATGTATTTTTTGGGGGGAGGCTAGGCAGTGGGGTTAAGTGACTTGCCCAGGGTCACACAGTTAGTAAATGTTATGTGTCTGAGGCTGGATTTGAACTCAGGTCCTTCTGACTCCAGGGCCATTGCTCTATCCACTGTGCCACCTAGCTGCCCCTGCTTGTAATATTTTTTCCTTGACCTTGGAGCTTCACAACTTGGCTATGATGTTCCTGTGAGTTTTCATCTCTTTCAGGTGGTGATCTTCTCCACACACACACACACACACACACCCACACACACACACCCCCCACACACACACCCATACACCCCCTTTACCCCACCCCATCTCCAGTCTCTCTCTAATCTTCTGTCTCTCCCTGTCTGTTGGCGCCTTCCTTTTTTGTCTATAAACATCTCCATATTTTTTCTATCCTTAAAAATCTCTTGCTAGGACTTTTTCCACCATCATCCTGTATCTCTCCTCTCCCTCTCACCTAAATTACATCTAGAGTGCTACATGCTAGGTGCTTCCACTTCCATCTCACTCTCTTGTTAACACTCTGCAGTTTGGCTTTGACCTCATATTAAGTAGAAACTTTTCTAAGTTACCAATGATCTCTTAATTGCTAGATCCAAATGGCCTTTTCCACTGTTAATTGCATCCTCCTAGATCCTTTCCCCCCTCTAGCATTTCGTGACATTGTTCTTCATTAGTTCTCCTACCTATCTGTTCTTTCTCAGGAATCTTTATCGAAATTGTACCCACTTACTATGAGTGACCCCTAGGGACCTGTTCTATGCTTCTTCTTTACTCTATATGCGAAGTTTTTAGTCTGGGTAGATTTTAGGGGATGCATGAAGTTGGATGGGAAAAAATGATATTTTTATCACATCTTTATTTCAGTGTAATTGATTTCCTTTGTAATCTTCTGTAGGTGATCTCATCATTCCCATGTATTCAATTATCTTTATGCAGATGATTGCCAGATTTATATATTTATCTCTAGACTCTCCTGTGTTAGAGTCCCACATCACCAACTCACTTTTGGTCATCTCAAACTCAACATGTACAAAATAGAATTAATTTTCTTTTTCCCAAACCTCCTTTTTTTCAGAAGCACCACCATCCTCCCACTCATCCAGGCTTACAACCCCCATGTTATCTTGGACTCCTTATTCACCCCATATGTCCAAATCAGTTTCCATATTACTTCATTTCTTTCACCACATCTCTTAGATATGTTTCCTTCTGTCTTCTCACACAGCCTTCACCTTAGTTCAATTTCCTATAATTTCTTACCTGAACTATAACAATAGCCTTCTAATTGATCTCCCTGCCTTAACTTTGTCCATATGTCAATTCATCTCTACCCTGCTGCCAGGAGGATATTTCTAAAGTGTAGGTCTGATCATGTTATCCTCTCTCAACTTCTCTGACCAGACTCAGTAAATTGCAATAGTTTACTGTTACCTCTAGGATCAAATATAAAGTCCTCTGTTTGGCATTTAAAGCTTTCATAACCAGATTCTTTCCTACCTTTCCAGTCTTCTTATATTTTGCTTCCTTCCACGTATTTTGTGATCTAGCTACACTGACCTAATTGCTGTTCCTTCCACATGATACTCCATCTCCTGTCTTTGTGCCTTTGCACTGACTGTCTCTTATTACTGGAATGCTTTCCTTTCTCACCTCTGCTGCTTAGTTTCCCTGGCTTTCTTTAAGACTGAGCTCACATGCTCAAAAGACAACTTTCAAGAGAAAGCCGTTTGCTGGTACTTCACATTCCACCTGCATTTTAAACAATCTAATTCCAAGCTTAGGTTTTTCCTAAACTTATTCTTCCTTCTTACTCATTTCTATCTTGATGTCTTTGATTCTTCTTCCTTAACTTTTTGCATATTAGCTACTAACCACTGCTATTCTAGCTCTATAAATCCTCTCTTTTTCATCTTCTCTATTCATCTTCCTTTCTTCTTTCCTATATTCACCCATCTATATACACATACATAGATATGCCTTATAATTAATTATCTATAAATGTTACACATTCCTACCAGATCATTAATTCCTTGAGGGCAGAGTCCATGTTTCACCTAAATTTTTTGTCTTTCCTAAAACTTAACATGGTGATTTACATAGAGTAGGCACTTAAAAAAGGTTTGTTGAATTATGTTTTGACTATCATTAAATACTATTTTATAATTTTCTTCAGTTTCTGATTATTTTGAATCATATGATACTTTTAGATAACTTTCATTTTTGTCCTCCCAAAAGTAGTGGTTATCTTTCAGTGAAGAAATTATGTAAGTAGAAATGTGTTTCTTAATGGTAATATTACTCTTAAAAGTCTTATGCTGCACCATGCTGAAAGCTTTAAGAATTACTAGATTTGATTAAGCAGTTGGGAGGGAAGACATCATGTTTCCGAGCATCCTTTTAGCTGTAATCCTATTCAATTATTGAAAGATTTTGACTGTATATTGATATATTTTTGTGATTTACTGAGATCTTTCATTGAATGCTACTACCAAATAGAAGTTGCTCATTTATATAATTTCTTATTTTATTATAATTCTTTAAATCATTAATGCCATACAAGGATTTTTCTTGGTCAGTTTTAAAGCTACAGTCCTTTTCCTTTTAAATAAAATTGCATAATTGGCATTCTCTTTTTATTCTTCCCTGAAAGCATCATTAATTTATGTATGTGTTTGATTCTCTATTCATGCTAATTTTCTAGACATTTTTCTCAAGAATTTACTGAAGTGCACATTAAGAGAGGGAAACTAGATTATTGGGAGCTTAATACTCAGTTCGTGTTATATTAAGCTCAAATATTTGCTCTTATTATTAAGAGAGGAAGTGTTGCATACACAACTCAGAAAATTTGACTCTAGGGTCAGAGGTTTAAATTATTCATGACATTTAGTTCACAATGTACTAATCATGTTTTGTTTTAAAGGGTGAAAATGATAAGTGATAGAAAGCTCTGTAGTTCAGCTATGTAGCTATTTTTGTGAGATGCACATCAGAAAGAGGGCTGCACCTATAGTATCCTGAACAGAATGCTAAACTTGGAGTTAGGAAGACATATGTTCTAATCCTGTCTCTGACACTTGCTGTATAACCATTAAATGTTGCTGAGTGTTTTTCTAACTGCCAAATGAGAATAATATTTACCTGTAGTAAGTACTTAGCAGGGTTGTTGTGGTCAGGCTCAAATGAGCATGTATGAAGTTCTTTGCAAATGTTAAAACACTATATAAATGGCAGTAATTATTAAATATCACTATTAGAAATCTTTACTCTGTAGCAAATAGAAACTCCCAGGAATCTAACAAATATAATTTCTAATATGGTATGATTTGGCAGGGGTGCAGGGAGATGTGAGGTTTGGTTTTGTTTTGTTTATTTGCATTCCCTTATGATAGTGCAGTTTTCTGCTCTGTGCTAGACCCTTGGGACACAAGAGACAAAAAATGGTTCTTGATTTCAAGAGCTTATATTCTACTGGGGTGATACATGTAACTCAGGTAAACATGTTTATTGTGTACCTAATTGTGCTTGGTTCTGTTAGGTGGTATGAAAAAATAATAACAATGGACAAGTAGTGTTTTAAAGTTTGCAAAATGTTTTATGTATATTACTTCATTTCTGTTACTGTATAAGGAAGAAAATCATAAACACAGTCCTAGCTCTGGTCACTTAAATACAGGCTATAGAGAAAGTAGAATAACATCACATTGATATGACTTTTGAGGAATGAAGGCTGTTACTATGATAAAAATGAGGAGGACTTCTTTTCTACACCTAGCAATATGGGCAGAAAACTAGATGAGTTCTAAGAGGCTATTAAGAATTTGCTTTATAAATACAAAGGAAGAAAGGGTAAATCTTACAGAATTTTCTAAAATCTCTGGTTAGTGGATGAGAACTTCAGATGTCACTATATCTTAAGGTATTTTTGAATGGCTTGATTTTTGAATAACTTGATCATAAACTTGTTGTAAAACCACTTATTTTTGTTTTCTAGGTTGGCAAATAAACAAGACAAAGAAGGGGCTTTATCAGAAGCAGATATAATTGAACGTTTATCTCTACAAAAACTTGTCAATGAGCAAAAATGTCGCTGTCACATAGTAAGTTTCTCTATCCCTCATTCTGTCTTTGCTTATTATTTTATGAATAACTTTACTGTACCACCAATAGCAATAGTCATATCCTTAAGCAGATTGTTCCTGTTGTCACCAAATCCTGGAGCTTTTACTGCAGCAACTTGCAGCCCAACTTTTAGCCTGTTCAAAACCAGTGTACTTATTGCTTCTCCATTGACATCTAAAGCAATTATGACTATCAGGCTTATGGTGGGCATTTGCAATTTCAAGTGCAGGTACAATAGATTAGACACTAGAGATCTTTTTTTTTTTTCACTTAAGGAGAACATAGACATCCTGGAATTTACATTTCTGACCTTTAGCCGTATTAATAAAATATGGAGAGATACAGCCTCTGTCAAACTTAATGCCTTCAATAATTTCCAATTCATCATCCAATGTTTTTCCGTCTTTTACTGTGATGACAACCTTTTGTCCTACCTTTTTCATTGCATCAGATATTATGTTGCCAATTTCTCAGTCTCCATTTGCAACCTGAGCAATTTCTTGAGGAATTGTGACAGGTTTAGACTGCTTCTTAAGCTCAGTAATGACAGCATCAGCAGCCAACATCTCTCCTGATCTCCACTGGATTTGCTCCTTTGCTAATTTTCTGAAAGCCTTCTTTAGCAAGGGATTGTAAAAGGACTGTGGCAGTGGTAGTGCTATCCCCAGCCTCTTCATTTGTGTTATTGGCAACATCCTGAACTAGCCTGGCACCAATGTTTTTATATTTGTCCTTCAAGTCAATTGCTTTTGCCACAGTCATACTATCTTTTGTTAGCTTGGGACTTCCCCAACTCTGTTCAGTGATCACAGTTCTTCCATTTGGCCCCATAGTAATGGCACCAGCATCAGCATCAGCTAAAAGATCTACACCTTGAAGCATTAAGGCTCGGGCATCTGCTCCAAATTGGACATCTTTAGCTTAAGCATGTATCGGGTAGGGGGCCAGTGCCCTAGATACTGGCCTTATCTGACAGAAGGACTGTAGATAACCAGAGCATTTCTGCAGGGGCAGGCGGACAAGCACATGGTGCAAATTGGCAACAACAAGTAGAACTTCTTGTATTTCAGTTGGTTTATGTGCAAATAGATAATGATGATGATAATATTAATAATAGCTGACATGTACATTATGCTTTAAAGTTTGTAAAGTATGTTATTTATATTTGATTAGCCTGGTATAGTAGATAAAGTGCTGGACTCAGAATCAGGAAAACCTGGATTTGAATCGTGCCTCAGACACTTCCTGGCTGTGCAATTATGAACAAAGCACTTAACCTTTCTGGCCCTCAGTTTTCTCATCTTCAGATTAGCAGTTTGGACTAAATTTGTGATCCTATAAACAGTACGTTTTGTAAGTTAAATGAAACGATAAATTCTTTTTTTTTATTTTATCTTGTGTAGTTATTTTTGAGACAGCTATCTTAATATGGGTAAATGCCTTATATTTTGTGTTTAGGTAATGTTCATTAAACAGTTGTTTACCATGTTTTTAGCAATCCTGTTCAGCATTCTGGGGCTCTGGGAAGAAATTTGACAAGTCCATAAGAAGTGGTCTTTATTGGTTGCTGTGTTGCATTGCAAACGACTTTGATGCCTTAAATGATCGAGTTGAAAAAGACACAATTGCTCAACGCATTCTTGAGAAAGTAGAGAGGCAGGAACGAATTGAGCGAGTGAGGAAACTACGAAGAGAAAGGTACTGACTAATTAAAGTACTCAGCCAAAATGCATCTCATGTCAAAAACACCAAAATTGTGGGAGTAATTTATATTTGTTGTTTTTATCCATTCAGTTTCCTCTTTTCTGTATGAAGGAAGCTACTGGGTAAGAATTTGTTATTTCTATGGATCTTTTGCACCTGCAAGTTTGGATGACATATTTGTAATAGTCCTTGTAATATCATACAACTATCATTATTATACAAATATTATGTTGTAGGCAAATTTACACAAAGAACATATTTTTTGCTTATAAGCCTTCATCATCTCTCAGAGTTTTATAATTTTGTCTATCCTCCTTATCAATTTTGAGACAAAGTGGATTTTCAAAGGAATTGTTAGACCAAAATCTGTTTATTTGCTTTTTCTTTTGTGGAAGGGTAAGAAAAGTTGTACTCTTCAAAAAAAATATTGCCTGAATGAAAACACTTAAGGTTTAAGTTATTAAATGCTGGATTAAAAATTAATTATGTCTTTTTATTTTTAAATAATGGTCCAGTATAAACATAAGTTGAAATTTAAAATATGAATAAAAATTCTTACAATATTCCTACATTTAACCTGTGTATATCTGTCTCTTATGTCAGGGAAGAAAGGAAAAGGTAATTGTCCTCTCCTTACTTGGGAAATAATAACCTTTTACAAGAAGGTGGCATATAGGTTGTATGGACCTGTAAAGGCATGGTAGAGCTCATGATAGGGTGGGGCTACTAGGTTATTATTCTCCTAGGTATTGGCCAGAAACCAGGAAAAGATGAGTTTTGTCCACAGGGAAACAGTTTCATAATCTATGCTAATACTGATTTTTCTCTTAAGCCACATATAGATTTGATATCCTTAGGGAAAAATACTTCTAGAGTGTAGATTTATTAATTTTTCTTTTCCTAAGAAAGTCATGAAGTAATGTCCATATTTGTCTTCAAGAGAATTAGGTTTCATCATTTTTCTAGCCTTATTGATAGTTGACAAATAATATAATCGTGAGGATATTAGTTTCCATAGAAATCTTGAATTCTTTTGGCTTTAATCAAGCTGTTTTGTGTATTCCATTTTTTAAACCGTGAATGTTGTGTTGTTTTTATAGTACAAAACAACAGTAATACATATAGATTAAACTTGGACAAGTTCTATCAAAAAAATTATACGTATCGCTGAGATTCTTTGAGTCTCTTCTTTTTCCTGTTGTACACAAAGCAAGCATTTTGATGAGTGATTTTTATGAAAGAAATAATTAGTAATTTTTTTCCAAGTATTTTTATTATTTCCTCCCCAAGAAACTACAGGCACTTGGTAGGCAAGTTTCCCTGTAACATTCCTTTTTTTTCCTTTCCTGCTTCCCCATGCAGACCCAACCATACTTGTGTTCCAAGGCCCCTTCTGGTGAGCAGAGCCTCCATAATTAACAATACATAGGTGTAAATTTGTGAGTGATACAGAAACTTTTAATTTCCTAGCACTTAGTCTCATTGATCTAGTTACTCACTTCCAGTATATTTGGAAAACAAAATACTGTTTTTAATGTTATGTTCATAGATAAACTTGATTATATTTTTTAAATGACTACTAAATGAATAACTTGAAAAATGAGGTCAAACTAAGATGAAGCATGAAAGGTTACATTAATCATGTTTTTTTCATTATATATATATGAGAATTAAAAGTTTCAGCTATAATCCTCAGTTTCATTATGTTTTATGATCCAGAGGTAGTAAACTTTTAAATGAACTTTATTGTATCTCTGACTGTTTTGTTTCAGGAACTGTTAATTACCTTTCACATATGGTATTATTTGCTATGTATCACAGAGACAGTGAATATGCCATTGATAGCTAGTTTTCTGAAGTACTGCTTTATTTTATTTACGTGACATGTAAAACAAATTTTTAATAGGTCCGTATACTGTTGTTCAGGAATACAACTATTATGCAATCATTTAAACATGTGAGTTCTAGTAATGTATATTTTTCTACTTATCTTTCTATTTGTTTTCTGTCTTTTACATATGTAAGCAAATTCTATCTATAGGTATGCATGCTCTCTATTTTTACATAAATATGTTCAAGAAAAAGACAGGAAATAGAGGTCAGACAAAGGAATAATTGTCATCTAGTATATCATACTATGTTTGTCAAACATGTATGTCAAACATCAGCTATGTCATGGAGAAGAAGATAAAGATTTGGGGAATAAAAGTTAGTCGTGTCTTCTACACCAGTTATAGTGCTAATGTAGACTTATTTTTTAATTTGGAGAAACTGGTAAACATGAATTATTGTCAGTTGGAATAAACAGTAATTTTAAAAAATGCATGGTCAGTCAAGTTGCACTGAAGTTTTAAAAAAAATCAGTCCATCAGTAAGCATTTGTTAAAAACCTACTGTTTGCCAGGTACTGTAGTAGGTGCTGGGACAGAAAGACAAAACCAAAACAATTTCTTGAATTCTCAAGGAACTTCCGTTCTATTGAGGGAAACAGCATGTATACATATAAGTAAATACACATATATGTATAACATATACATATGTATATACATGTTATACACAGAGTAATTTAGCAGAGTACTAGCAATTAGGGTAATCAGAAAATGCCTCACATAGAAGATGTTACTTGAGCTTAGCTACAAAGGAAACCTGGGATTCTAAAAGGCAGAGGTGAGGAGGAATGGGGAGACCAGCCTATTCAAGGGTAGGGAAACGAGAGAGAATCTTGTACAAGGCCATCACGTGGTTTAGGCTAGAAGAATGTTTGAAGTCCTGAAGATGACCAAAGGTCAATTACAAATAATTTTATGCCAAACTGTTTGAATTTTTTAAAAATTTAACTTATTTGCAAGTTATTTGTAAGTTAAGACTTTTGAGTAAAAGATTTCTTTCTGCTTATCCATCTAACAGAGAACAAAAGGAGAGAGAGCGTGCGGGAGAGCATCCTGAGTTTGACAACAATTTTGATTCTGAAGTGGATTTTGATCCATTTATTGTTAGCCCTTTTCAGCCTATAAATGTAGTAATTGCAGAGGTATGTATGATGACAAATGCAATTTTTGTTTTTAAGCCACAGGCCATAAGAAAGCATTTAGAGGAACATTGAAGGAAAGCCAGAGAAATAGTTACCAAGACACACCTGACGGGTTTGGTGGATGAATACCAATATGATTTTCTCCTCTGGTGCTAGAGATAGTGTGGTGTAAGTGAACAGAGAGCTGGTCTCAATGCCAGGAAGACCCAGTTTTGTCTCTGACATATACCAGCTGTGTGACTCTGGGCAAGTCACTTAACTTCTAAGTGTCCAGGCAACTCTGAATGAATCTGAGTTGCAGAGAAGGTGCTGCCCTGCATTGGCAGAAGTTCCTTCCTCAGAGGGAGATCTCTATACCAGTGAAGTAAATGAAAGGTTCAGAATCTATCCCTTTCCCTGTGAAGGTGGAAAGCATAGTTGTCAGAAAGAGATAAGAATGAACTGAAGCAAAATGAGGGAATGAACATAATGAATACAGACTGCTGCCATTGTTTCTTAAATTTCAGAATTGTGTTATTCTTGTTAGGATATTTATTCTTAAGTATTGTGTCTCTTCTTTCCCTGTCTTGCTGCTGTTATCTCATTGTGCTAATATGTAAATGCATTTTAGAATTTATAAATTGCTTTCTGATGATTTTTTGAGTACATTGTAAAGTGTTCTAAATTACCATAAACACTCAATGTGTCTGAATATCCCTTTGTGAATATAATTTGCAGTTGCCTAAAATTTTTACCAAAATTAATTTATATATAGATTGAATTCTTGTGTGTGTGTGTGTATGTGTATATCTGTGTATCTGTCTGTCTGTCTACGTCTATGTGATGACATCTAGATGTTACACATCTCAACAGCCCCTTAATCTTGGCAGCTCCTGGGCTTATTTTCTGTTACCTGGCAGATTGCTCATATAGCTAAATTGATGCTTCTGCTTATGCATGTTGTCTTCTAAAATCCTCCTCATTGCTTCATTATAGTTTCCCATTGGGCAACAGGTAATGATCAGTTTCTCCCAGTAGCTGTTGTTGCTGAGATGGGAAGGCAGCTTACAGAAGATACTGTACCTCTTAGTTTTCTTAGCTATCAGAATATTCCATTCTAGTTACATTTTCTTTAATGGTATTCCTATTTGCAGGAATGAGTACAACAAAATAGTTACATGAGTTATCATGTCTAATTTCTGTTAAATATGTTCATTTTTTGTTCATTTGAAAACATTGCCTAAAAAGAAAAATTGAAGCATTATTCTATATTTTGACATAGACGTTTATTTTGTGTGAGGAGCTTGCAAATGATGACCTTTGTATACTACAGTAAATGTTTTTATAAGCAATATGCCAATAAATTGCTCATACAGAGTATAGAGTACTGTGATTCATCCCACAAAACATGCTACACATCTCATAGTATAAAGAGAAACATTATTGTAGAACATAGTGAACTAGGTTCCATGTTAAAAATCCAGAATGAATATTGATATGATAAAATCACACATTGTATGTTTATAATAACATTTCTTAGTAGATCAGGCCTGCACAACCTGCAGTCAATGGACTGCAGATTGTGCAGGCTTGTAGTAGATCATACGTTAAAAAGAGAAAATAGGTGCACCTTATTTTTTAGGTTGCAAAACCTCTAAATTCTCTCTACATACGTTGAAGTAGTCTGTGTTTTATTTTTATGATGTGTGACTTTTTCTTCCTAAAACCTTGTTTAAAAAAAATCTCCTATGAAACACTTAATGTTCTTTCAAAACCATTGTAATGAAGGAAAAAAATACATACTTCTTAGGATTTTATTTTCACTTTCTTGGGTTGTATTGTACCAATGTAGAGTCCGTTTTTTCTCTTATTTATTGAACTATATTAACATTTTTAAAAGACTCCAATTTTACCTTTTTTCTAAATGATTATTTTAAATTTATTTAATTAAGACTTGGTGCTTTAGACTTTGAAATTACATAAACATATTGTGACAGTAAAGATGCTATGCTTTATTTTTTGTTAGAATGAAAAAAGAAGGCAGAGAGTGGTTAGAAATACGTCCAGCATTCTTCTGAAATCTAGCATAGAAGAGGAGCAGTCTGAGACACAGAGCCAGATCAGCTGCAGCAGCCAAAAAAGCGGTGATTGTGCATTCATAAACCCTCCTAAGAGGGTGACATTAACAAAGTGTGTGGAGAAAGAAACTGACACAGGCCAACAGTCCTCTGAATGCTGTGACTCAGGTGATAACTCTGATATAAAAAGAGTAACTTACTGTTTATGTTATGACTAAGAACCATAATACCTCTTCACAGATTTGTCTTATGTTTTTGTATTTTTTTTCCTCCCTAGGCTTTTCCTTCAAACTGTTTGGATCTTTGTGTATTACATATATTTTTATAATATATAGAATGAGATATACTTCAAAATTTTCCTATCAGGCAATATTTTCTCCCACTGGTTTTATTACCCAAATATATCAATATGTGTTATATTTTTATATTTTATATCTATTTAATTTTTTTCATTTAATTTATAATAGAATTAAATTACACAAAGGTTTATTAATTGTCTGCTAAGTACAAAGCACTGGGCTAGGTTTAAGAAAGCTGAAAGTTTTGTTAAGATATTTGCCCTGCCATAAAGGAGCTTACAATGTGAGGTATTACACTGAGATAACTTTAATACTAAGTTGTGTATAAGGATCATAGAATTCTTGAATTTCAAAATTGGAAGGCACATCTAGTCAGTCTGCTCCAACAATTATTGAACAGGAGGAACCAGTTCTACCACATTATCAAACAAGTGGCTTTCTAGCTTCCACGTGAACACCTCTAGTAATGAAGAACACGTTATGATGTATTCCTTTTTTAAATGATTCTCATTTGGAGGAAGTTCTTCCTTAATTCCAAAATTTAGTTCTTTATAACATTTATTCCTTGTTTATACTTTCTGGAGCCAAGTAATCAGTTCTAATCCTCAAGCAGTAGCCTTTCAAACACTTCAAAAGAGAATTTTTAGATAAACCATTTCTTCTCCAGGTTAAGCATATGTAGTTTTTAATAATTCCTGTAATTGTTGAGTGGAATTTATATTATTACAGAAAATACTCAGTTTAATATTTCCATTCTCAAATTTGTCTTCATGAAGATGGAATACAATGGGTTTTCAGGAATCCTCAAGTAGTCATACTTTTCAGTAAGTGTCACCTCAGACATCAGTTTATTTATTTATTTGCTTATGTATTTGTTTGTTTTTAATTTTTTCATTGGTTTACTCTTTTTTCCCTCTTAGTAATATTACACCTGCACTTCAAAAGCATTCTTATAATTAGGCTCACTTCCTGTTATTCGTGTCTAGCTGAAAGTGAACCAGCCATTTTTCCCTCCTGTAGGATGCTAAAATGACTGACTGGCTTTTTTGTTTTCTTTTTTAAATTGGTGGTTGGTTTGTCTAACATTGTAAATCGATGGGATGTCATAAAGAAACAGTTCCTTTTCTGGTTAATGATGTGACTCCATGGTATTTAAGAATTTCCATGAAGTTAATAATGCATAAGGAAATTATCAATACTTCATTAGCTCATACCATTAATCAGGTAGTGGATGTTTGTTAAGCAACTGCTATGTGAAAGGCACTATGCTAGGTGTTGAGGGAAACAAAAACTGAAGTGAAACTGTCTCTGCCTTCATAGAGTTTACATGGGAGAAATACAAGTATATAAAGAATAAATACAAAGTAATTTGGAAGGTACCAGACAAGTGAGGAAAGCCCCAACAGCTGGAGAGAACGGAATGTTTTTGTATTGAAGGTGTGGCTTTAGCTGAGTTCTCAAGAAAATTAGGGATTATAAGAGGTGGAGAAAAAGAAAGAGGCCATTCTAGAATAAAGGACAGCCTGTACAAAGGCATAGAGATGGGAAAGGGACTATTATATATGGGAAACAGCAAGAATTAACTAGACTTTAGAGTGTGTGAAGGCAAGTAATATAATTAGGCCCAGATACTTAGATGGGGGTCAAGTTGTAAAGGGCTTTAAATGGTAAATTTTATCATAGAGATAATAGGAAACATTTGGAGTTTATTAAATGGGTGACTTTGGCAGCTATATGGAGGATGAAATGGAAAGGGGAAGGTGAGTTGAAGACACCTATTGCTTTTGCAGTAGTCCAAGCAGAAGTTAGGGCCCAGGTCTAGGGTATGAATAGAGAGAGGGGGACATGTAAAAGAGATATAGAGGTAGAACTTTAAGATTTCATAACTACTTGGATGTGTAGGGCAAGGGATAGTAAGGATCAAGGATGACACTGAGGCTGCAAGCCTTCATGACAAGTAGAGTGGTGGTGGTACACTTGATAGAAATAGATAAGTGGCTTTTGAAAGATGAGTTCAATTTTGGGCATGATGAGAGAGAGGTGACATAGAGTAGAGGTATTAAGCCTGTGGCCTACATTTTGACCAACAAAATTTTTTTGCTTTTCTTTTTCTTTTCCCTTTTCTAAATTACATTAATGCATATTTATGGAATAAAACAAGCATTTCCATAACAGTACAATAAAAAAGATGATTGTGCATGAAACTGCAAATCAGCTATGCACAACATGCTATTCCTTTCAAATATACAACAAAATTATCTTTTACACATTTATACATTTCTTTTTCCTTTTTTTCTAAATCCTCCACCCCTCCCACCCTAGAGAAGGCTACCATTAGACACAAATAGGTATATTTGTATATACATATACATGTATATGTATATGTACATTAAATTGTTCTATATATATTTCTATTTATCAATTCTGAATGCAGGTAGCATCTTTCTTCATATTACTTTTATAGTTAATTTGGGTATTTATAATAGTCAAAATTACTTATTCACTCAAAATTGGTCTTAAAACAATACTGCTATTACTATATACAGTGTTCTCTTGGTTCTGCTCATTTTTCTCTTCATGATTTCATGCAAGTTTCTTTCATTTTTCAAAGATTGTTGAGCTCAGCATTTTTTTTGGTAAATAGTATTTTTGTAACAGATTTTGAGTTCCAAATTTTTTCTCCCTCCTCCCCCCAGGATGGCAAGCAATCTCTGATATAGGTTATATTTGTGAAGTCATGTAAACATATTTCCATATTAGTCATATTGTGAAAGAAGAAACAAAACAAAAGTGAAAAGCCACAAAAAAAAAGAAAATAGCCTTCTTCAATCCACATTCAGATTCCCTAGTTCTTTCTCTGGAAGTGGATGGCATTTTCTATCATGAGTCTTTTGGAATTGTCTTGGATCTCTGTATTGCCGAGAAGAGCTAAGTCAGTCATAGTTGATCATCGCACAAAGTTGCTGTTACTATGTACAGTGTTCTCCTGGTTCTGCTTACTTCACTCAATAGTTCCAAATTGAATGGTTGAATCAGTTCACAACTCCACCAACAATGCATTAGTGATCCAGTTTTCCCACATTTTCTCCAACATTTATTACTTTCCTTTTCTGTCATATTAGCCAATATGATAGGTGTGGGATGGTACCTCTGAGTTGTTTTAATTTGCATGTCTCTAATCAAGAGTGATGTAGAGCATTTTTTCCCATATGACTATAGATAGCTTTAATTTTTTTATCTGAAAATTACCTGTTCATATCCTTTGACCATTTATCAAATGTGAGTTAGAATATTTTTTCATATGGCTACAGATAGTTTTAATTACTTCATCTGAAAACTGATTTTATCTTTTGATCATTTTTCAATTGGGTGGGGAAGCTTCAAATTTTTATAAATTTGACTCAGTTCTCTATATGTTAGAGAAGTGAGGTTTTTATCAGAGAAACTTGCTTCAATATTTTATTCACAGTTACTATGGCTAACTGTATTTCTCTCCATCCTATTCCCCCCTCCTATTTATTCTGTTCTCTCTCCCCTTTCACCCTGTCCCTTCTCAAAAGTGTTTTGCTTCTGATTGCCCCTTCCCCCAATCTGCCCTCCTTTCCATCACCCACCCCCCCCATCCTTTTCCCCCCCTACTTTCCTGTAGGGTAAGATAGATTTCTATTCCCAATTGAGTGTGTATGTTATTTCTTCTTAGAGTCAGTTTTGGTAAGAGTAAGATTTACTCGCTTCCTGTCACCTCCACCCTCTTCCCTTCCATTGTAAAAGCTTTTTCTTACGTCTTTTATGTAAGATAATTTACCCCATTCTATCTCTCTCATTCTCTTTTTCCCAGTGCATTCCTTTCTCAACCCTTAATTTCAATTTTTTTCTTTAGATATCATGCCTTCATATTCAACTCATACCTGTACCCACTGTCTGTATAACTCCTAACTACCCTAATAATGAGAAAGGTCTCATGAGTTTTAAATATCATCTTCCCCTGTTGGAATGTAACAGTTTAACATTATTAAGTCCCTTATGATTTACCTTTCCTGTTTACCTTTTTATCTTTCTCTTGAGTCTTGTATTTGAAAGTCAGATTTTCTATTCAGCTCTGGTCTTTTCATCAAGAATGCTTGAAAGTCTTCTATTTCATTGAATGTCCATCTTTTTCCCTGAAGGGATTAAACTCAGTTTTGCTGGGTGGGTGATTCATGGTTGTAATCCTAGCTTCTTTCCCCTCTAGAATATAATATTCCAAGCCATCCAGTCCTTTAATGTAGAAGCTGCTAAATCTTATGTTATCCTGATTGTTGCTCCACCATACTTGAATTGTTTCTTTCTGACTGCTTGCAGTATTTTCTCCTTGACTTGGCAACTCTAGAAGTTGGCTGTAATATTCCTGGCAGTTTTCTATTTGGGATATCTTTCAGGAGGTGATCAGTGGATTCTTTCAATTTCTATTTCACCCTCTGATTCTAGAATATCAGGTCGTTGATAATTTCTTGAAAGATGATGTATAGGCTCTTTTTTTTGATCATGGCTTTCAGGTAGTCCAATAATTTTAAAATTATCTCTCCTGGATCTATTTTCAGGTCAGTTGTTTCTCCAGTGAGATATTTGACATTGTTTCCATTTTTTTCATTCTTTTGGTTTTGTTTTATTATTTCTTGATTTCTCATTAGCTTCCATTTGCTCCATTCTAATTTTTAAGGAATTATTTTCTTCAGTAAGCTTGGACCTCCTTTTCCAATTGGCCAGTTTTGCTTTTTAAGGCATTCTTCTCCTTATTGGCATTTTGGATCTCTTTTACCATTTGGCCTAGTCTGATTTTTAAGGTCCTTTTTTCTTCAGTATTTTTTGGTGTCTCCTTTACCAAACTGTTGATTTGTTTTTCCTGATTTTCTTGTATCACTCTCATTTCTCTTCCCAATTTTTCCTCTACCTCTCTTACATGATTTTAAAATCCTTTTTTGAGCTCATCTGTGGCCTGAGACCAATTTATATTTTTCTTGGAGGCTTTGAATGTAGGAGCTTTGACTTTGTGGTCTTCTTCTGAGTGTCTGTTTTGATCTTTCTTGTCACCATTGTAACTTTCTATAGTCAGATTTTTTCCATTATTTGCTTGTCTTTTATTTGTTATTTTGTTTATGTTTGTTAAGGTAGGACTCTACTTCCAGGGTGGAGGGCACACTCTCCCAAACTTTAGGGGTTTTTTGCAGCTGTTTTCAGAGATGTTTTTAGGAACTTGTAAATTTTAAGTTCTTCCAAGGTGGTATGATCAAGGAGTGGTATGTGTCCTACTCCCCTAGCCAGTGTTCTCATCTATGAGCAACCACAAGCATTCTTTTCCACCCTTGAACTGTGAGGAGGTTACCCCCTTCACTGCTGCAGCAAGTTCTGCTATGCTAGTGTTCCCTCACCCTGGGACTGCCACCCAGGACTGCAGCCTGCATCCAAGTATGGCAAAGCAACAGAGTCCTGCCTCAAAGACCCCTATAATGTCCTTCTGACCAGTTGTTCCAACCCCTTACCATCTGAGAGCTGAGAGCCCTGGAAGCAGCCACTGCTACTGCCACTGATGCTGCTGATTCAGTCAGTCCCAAGGCCTGGTTCTGGTTGGCCGTGGGCGTGGCTGTGCCTGTGGCTGTGCTGATGCTACCTGGCCTTGATTGGGGTCTACTCTCACCCAGCTGAGGCAGTGCATTCCTGCTGATCTTCTTAGTTGTCTTTGGCATCTGTGGGCTAAGAGGTCTGGAAACCGCCACTGCTGCTACTGATTTAGTTGCCTTGAGGACTGTTTGCTAAGGGCCTGGTCTGTGCTGGCAGGGTCTGCAGTGGATTGTACTCCTTTTACCCTAGTGCAACAGACCTTTTCTTCCTGACCTTCCAAGTTGTCTTGGGCTAGGAATTTGTTTCACTCCATCTTTTTGTGGGGTCTGCTGCTCTAGATTTTGTTTAGAATCATTTTTAAAGGTATTTGGAGGGTTTTGGGGGAGAGCTCAGGTGAGTCCCTGCCTTTACTCCACCATCTTGGCTCTGCCTCTGGCCAATTCTACTTTTAAAGGAGTTGTTTTCTTCAGTAGATTTTTTTTTCCATTTTGCCAGTTATATTTTTTAAGGAATTGTTTTCTTCAGTCAATTTTTTTGCTTGCTTTTCCAAGCTGCTGACTTTTTTTTTTTAATAATTCTCTTGCATAACTCATTTCTTTTCCCAGTTTTTCTTCTATTTCTCTTGATTTTTAAAAACCTTTTTGATTTCTTCCAAGAGGTCTTTTTGGTCTTGAGACCAATTCATATTACCCTTTGTCGCTTCACGTGTAGGCATTTTGACATAGTTGTCCTCCTGTGAGTTCATGTTTTGATTATTTATTTATTATTTGTCTGAAAGGGTTATTACTAGGTTCTTGTAGCCTTGGTCGAGTATTCAGTCACAGTGACTCCTCAAAGACCATTTAGGGAGTCACAAGAGGGTGTTCATTGTCTTTATTAGTGGAAAGATTGTTCCCACTAATGAAATTCCTAATTCTTCAAATACTGATGTGAATTTAAAATCAAGGCATCCATCTCACAACATATGGGAATGGTATTTGTGTATCACCTGAGCTAAACAGAATTTAAATCTCTGTCTTCAGAATGGGCAAGCAAGTTTCTGATTTTCTGAAAAGGTATAAGAAGTCAATTCTGTGACAATAGCCAGTTATCTTGATACCTAGAAAAAAATCTTAATCATTAAATAATAGTTTGTGTCCACTTAGAGGAGTTAATATTACTTTTAGTCAATGTAAATACATTAAGAAGAAGTCACAGCCACTCTAACTTCATTTCATTTTTTGGCAGTTAGGATTGATACATTAGGAACTCCCACAAATATAGTATGCCTAGATTTTAGCAAGGCTGTTTTGACGTTTTCTCTCATAATATCCTCTTGGAGATAGAAAGATATGAACTTATTGGTAGTGTACAGTTATGCAAAATCAGAACTAGTCAGATTATCAAAACCAAAGATTTTCATTAATGGGGATTAATACAAGCGTGGAAGGTTGTCTTCAGTCAAGAATGACCCAGTGCTCTACGCCTGGCCTTGTCAATTTACTGTTTAGATTAATGCTTAAAGATGTACTTGGAATGCTTGCTTAATCACGTTTGTAGATAATATGAACGTAATACGACAAAACTGAGATCCATAATGATCTCAATAGAGTGTCAAGTATAGGGAAATCTAATAAGATGTCACTTTCAGCAGATAGAACTAGAAAGTCTTATGCTTTACAGTTCAAGCAATAAACTCTGCAAGTACAAGATAGCAATGTAAGAAGTTCAAGAGTTTGGGAGGTTTGTTGTTTTTTTTTTTCGTTAAACCTCTTGGGGCTATGGGTAAACTGAACTTAGTATGAGTCAATAGTGTGATATCACCACCAAAAAAGTCAAGAATGTTTTAGGATGCATTATAAAAGCATAATGTTCATAACAAGAGCAATATATTCCATTCTGATTAGAGTACTTTTGGAGTAGTGTATCCAGTTTAGAGTATTATTTTTGTTTCAAAAGACTGGGTCTCCCCATCTTACCAAGACTCTAAGCACAGAAACTATTCATAGGTTGGATCCTCCTTCTGATTAGCACAATAGCTTTGACCTGCTTTTACTAACCTACACCAGTTTATCCCTCCTTAGGCAATCTGGTGACCCCCTACTCCCAAGGCTCACCATATTAGTGCTAAAGAATGTGAACACCTGATTGACATACCCCTCTACAGCGCAGAAATCCCAAACTCAAGAGCTTAAACAGCCTCAGCTCTCTCTATCTGTTCCCACCCCCTAATTTAGATAGGATTTTAGGAGTATACTACCTTACTAGTGCTAAACACTGTCCCTAGGAAGGCTACCAGGAGTGTGAGACGTACTAAATCTCATCACACGAGAATCTCTTGAATGAACTATAGTTGTTTGGCATAGATAAGGGAAGGAAGAATTGTGGGATCTCTGTATTCAAAAGTTTGAAAGAGTTGTATAGAAGAGAGATGCTATGCTTAACCTTAAAAGACATTAGGCTCAATGGTTTCGAGGTTGGATTGGAACTGCCAGTCAGGGTGGTAGATTCGGGGCTGGTGTCTTCTACCATGGCAGACTAAAATCCTTCTACACCTTAGAATGGGGCTTAGTGAGCTGCTATATCCAAATTTAAATTCATCACCTGGTAGCCAACTCTTAGGCAATGAACCTTTCAAGACTTAGCAAGGTAAACTTCAAAGACAGAAAGCCTGTTGCCAGGCCCTGACCTGAAAACTTTCCTAACTTGGTAGGACCTAATAGAACTTTCATTTTGTTTTTATGGATAAGAGGCCACTTCCACCTCCTGAAGGAAGAATAGCTTAGAGGATGAGTATCTGTAGTCTAGGCTTTAAAAACAAAATAGTTACTTGTCTTCATATAATGTTACAATTCTTATAATGTGTCATTTAATTTATTCTGAACTTAATATTTATATTCCATATAGATTGCAATAGAAAGAAAAATAAGAAATTCAGGTGCCTAAGAAGTCAACGGGTAACACCAATTAATACAGGAGATTCTGATCCAGAAATTGTGACATCACCCCAGTGTCCTATGTCTGGTGAGTAATCAGGAAAAAAAATTTCCCCCAAAACATTTTTGAACAGTTTCTAAGTGCTAAATTAGCAGGTTTTCACATTTCCACAAAAAAATGTCAGTCATGGTAACCCTACCATAGTGAAAATAGGAAGATAAGTTCTCTTTTAAAGATCTGTGCACAGAATGGTGGATTTTTGAATTGAGACCCATTAGAATACTATTTTTCACAGCCCTACATTAGAGCTCAGTTATGTAGACTTGCCTCTATATAAGTTTGACACATGGCATATTTTTAAAGCAACTACTGAAACTATTTGATTTTCAATTCATAGTATCACTTTGGCTCCAGAATGATTGAACTTAAAGGTAGATTTCCTTTGATATTTTTCTTAGTAATCCCTAATTAAATTTGAATGCTATTATTAATTAATTAATGCTGTGCTAAATTTTTTCCCTTTATTCTATGTGAATAAAACTTGATATGTAATGAGCCTAACTGCCTTTAGTTAAAAGTGTAACTTGGAAAACATTTAAAAAAGATACAAAGATATCTAGAATTATCATTCATCAGTTTTTATTTGACCTTTAAGTTTATGCCTAATTCTTAATGAAACAAGGATACTCTGAGCAGACCTACAACTTGACAGCACTGTGATATTTTTGAATGTTTCTGTTTTCCTTCAGTTGGCTGGGAAATCCCCAGAGTCACTAGACTTCCAAAACTTGAACCTCTTGGTGAAACACATCGTAACGGTAATGCCACAAGATCATTATTTGATGTCTCCTCTGTATTTTCTCTATACATTTTTACATGTTAGTTCAACAAGCATATTTTATTTTTGAAAATCTGTTTTATTTTCCTCTGATTTCTAAAAATTTTATTTTATTTTTCTTCTGTTAAGTACATTGGTGTCTGTATGGTTTCATTTGATATACTTAAAGTGCAGTTACAAAAATATTCCAGCTAGCACTTGACCGTCATAATTATCCCAATAATTCTGGAAAAGAAAAACAATAAAATCTTTAAATGTTTAAAAATTTTAATTTATGTAATGGCAATTTATATAATGGCAATATGAAGGAATCTTAAGTTGTTCTTTGTTAAATAACTGTGCCACATCATAAGTCTTCTCTCATGTAAATAAGGATCTTGAATACAAAATATTAAGTTCTAGTCAAATTGAGGAATTGAGGATTTAACTCTGAAGGTTTAAAATAGGATTTTCTTATAAACAGTAAATTGAATGACCACATACTTAAATAGTACTTGTGCTAAGTCATCGTGAAAGTCGTGGAATTCTTTAATTTGATCCATATTGAACTTCAGAAAGAATTTTAAAAAATGTAAATCAGGTAAGGACATAAATTAAGATATTTGTGTGAAATTATCTTAAATCAGGTGGTAATTAGGGAATGACTTTGAGGTTTAGGGGTTCAGTGGTGCTGGGACCCCAATATCACAACACACAGGTCCTGCCCAAAAGAATTCAAACCAAGCCTTCTTTGAGCCAAAGACAAGGTTTATTAGAACATCCATGATATGGGGCAGACTCTCAAGGAGTCTGAACATTAGTAAGCTTTTGGTTAGATTTTAAGAATCTAAGCATCTTAATGGAGAAAAGATGGATCTTATATGCAGAAAGACTGTGGGAGGGATCTTGGAGTGGCCTAGTAGTTTGGGGTGACTGGAGGAGGGGTCTAAGGAAGATCTGAATGGGAGTGGACAGTAAGCTAGGGTGAACAGAATTCCTGGGATCTGGACCATGTGGCCAAGGGAGAATGGAGCCTAGCTAGGATTGAAGGGGGGGGTGCATAGGGAGGTGGGAGGTAAGACAATAGAGGGCTAGGCTAGGTTAAGGATAACAGAATTGGGAGATTGGCTGTAGCCACAATGAAAGGCCAGTTGATGGGATTCTAGCCTCAGGGGAACGCCAGAGATTTGGCCATGTGGGAGAGTTCAGGGTTTTTCCTTTCTGGGGTCTAGAGCCCATCCTTATCATTCCCCCCTCAAACAAATGGGACTCAATAGAGCTGTCCCTGCCTTGAGGGGGTCCCAAAGAGAAGATTAACTGGAACCGAGCACAGGCTGCATCCAGGAAATGATGGGGGGACATTGGCTGGTACCTGCTATTTGCTATCAACTATAGGTGAATGGCTTGTAGTCGGAAGACACAAATCTGACAGAAAAGACTGCAGGGCCCAGATGTGACAGGATAAAACATCCTTAGCTCTGATTGGATTCAGATAATTCAGTTTTCCAACCATTCAAATCCACCTCATAGCCAGACTCAGGAATAGCCAGGTGGGTAACATTCCTTTTCAAAGGAACATAATGGAGAAACTGACACCGGAGGATCACATCTTAGACTGAGGCTAAAATTGGCCTCTAAGCTTTTTCCCAATGCTGACTTCCCACCAGTATCACATTCTTTTTGAGTAGCTTGTGGCATTTTTCAGATGGTGGATTATTAATTATTGATGAGTTATTATGATCCATCAGATAACTCAAAATCCTGTGAGTTTTTACCTCAGACAGCAAGTTTCATTAGTCAGAGCTTAGGAAAAACTTTTCTAGGATTTACATCTCAAACTTAAATTTGTCCTCAATCATTAGAGATTTCTATACACTTGCAAATTCTCAGCAAATTAAAACCCAAACAAGCTTTTTGGCAAGTTTACACATTAAAACAATAACCAAGAATATCCAAATTATTTTAGCGGCAACCAAATTAAGAAAAGTTGCTTGACATAACTGATACAAAAAGTTCACCAGTTTGAAAGTTGAAACAAACCCATTACCAGTCAGATGACTTCAGTTTTGCTAAATGCATTTGCAAATTACTGTACACAGAGAATCAACACTTCATTTAACAGTTAAAACTACAAATTTAAAAGAGCGTGCTTACCCAAGTTCAGAGGCTAGCTTCTTTACCTTGAGCAGGATGTGTTGAACCTGGGTGATGCTTCCAGGCAAAGGTTGCCCTAGGGCCCAAGGGCCCAGGCCATAGCTGCTGCCCCTCCTTCCTCCTTTGTTTCCCAGGTGGGGGTGGGTGAAATCAAAGGTGAGGGGTAAAGGGTGAAACTCTCTTCTCCTATGAGAGGGGTTGACAGATACCCTCTTTACTCAAGCGAAGGGAGGGAAAAAAGAGTGACCAGGGTTGTAAGGAGTTCCAGACTCCTTAGTGATCGATCACAAAACCTCCAGAATCTGCCAAGATATTTTTAGCTGTTTTAACTTTCCCTTGTAACCTCCATAAAAGAGAATTCGGGGGTATAGAGGGAAGGGAGTAAGTAAGCCTCAGGGAACCAAAAAGCAACTGCAGTTTTCCCCAATTCTCTAGTGCCAAGAGAACTGACAGAATTGGGTGTACACTTCCAGATAGGGCGCCCGTCCTTGTCCTCTATGCTGTGGAAGGTGTGCCTAGGTCCATGGCCTCAAACTGACGCAGTGGACTGAGAGCCTGAGAGCGTCAGGCCAAGTGCAAGACAGCCTCTTAACTGTCTGCCCGAAAAGCACCTCTAAGCCTTGGTGCTTGCAGAGCACAAAATGGGAGAGGAGGCTTATATACCTTCCAGTCTTGGCTAGAGAAGAACTTGGGGTTAGGCAGTTTCCCCGTACCGGCCACCAAAATGATGAGGTTTAGGGGTTCAGGGGTCCTGGGACCCCAGTATCACACCACACAGGTTCTGCCCAGAAGAATTCAAACCAAGCCTTCTTTCAGCCAGAGACAAGGTTTATTAGAACATCCATCATATCGGGCAGACTCTTACGGAGTCTGAACATTAATAAGCTTTTGACTAGATTTTAAGAATCTAAGCATCTTAATGGAGACAAGATGGATCTTATATACAGAAAGACTGTGGGAGGAATCTAGGAGTGGCCTAGTAGTTTGGGGTGACTGGAGGAAGGGTCTAAGAAAGATCTGAATGGGAGTGGACAGTAAGCTAGGGTGAACAGAATTCCTGGGATCTGGACCATGTGGCCAAGGGAGAATGGAGCCTAGCTAGGATTGAGGGTAGGAGCTGGAGTGGGGGGGGCATAGGGAGGTAAGACAATAGAGGGCTAGGCTAGGTTAAGGGTAACAGAATTGGGAGATTGGCTGTAGCCACAATGAAAGGCCAGTTGATGGGATTCTAGCCTTGGGAACACCAGAGATTTGGCCATGTGGGAAAGTCCAGGGTTTTTCCTTTCTGGCGTCTAGATCACATCCTCATCAACTCTAGATTTAGACTTAGTACAGTATGAAATTTAGAAAAGAATGTTATAGATGTAGAATGATTAGTGATGAGGAATAGATGTATGGGTCCTATTGTCCTGAAAGAAATTCATTTGGACAGTTCTCCAAGTCAAAGAAAGGGATGACACACCCAAGTGAGGCTGCTCCCCTAAGGAACACAGAGGCATCCCTGCTTCCTGTAGGAGGCAAAAGTGATTGGCCAGCTTAAAGGTCTGGTTTAAATAAAATTTTATGGAAAGATGGAAGGGGGAAAAGGGAAATATCAGGTAAGCATGATGTGTTTTATCATATAGGTAAACAGAGAATAGGAAAGGGGAGGGGATGAGTTGTTCCTGGAGTATCTGGTAAGGGGATACTTTGTGAAAAGCATACTGGTAAATCCATGGTGGGGTTTTCTTTGATCACTTTCTGGCCCTCACAATCCGGCATCTTATCTCATATCTCACATCGTGCATCCTGCTTACTCAATCTGCCTCTAGCACTCCTGTCTGCCTCACCTGGACTATTGTGATTTAGGGGTGCTAGGAACCCAGAAATACAGGGCTAGTGTGGGTTGGCCTGGAAAGAATTCAACCTCTCAAGCTGGCTTTTCGTCAGAAACAAGGTTTATTGTATTGCCAATAGAAGTGGGTAGAATTCTTAAGGAATCTGTGCGAGATTGACACTTTTGTACAGAAAGACTGTGGAAAGATCTGGATGGGATTAAGTAGCCTGGGCTAGTAGGCAAGTAGCCTGGGTGGTCCTGGTACAGACAATGAGGACCACAATGAAAGAGTAGTTAAAAGGATTATTGACTGGGATGGGCTGGGTGCCTTCAGGCTAACACCAGAGATCTAGGCTCAAGGGCTTTGGGGTCCAGGCCCTAAGACATGGTCTTTTCCTTTTAGGGGTCCAGCATGAATCCCATCTACCCCATTCCCCTTCAAATAAATGAGACCCAGAATCTTTTGGGGTAAGGGTCTCGATGGGGGTGCTTGGGTGCCTGTCCTTAGACCCCAATTTCTCCCAGCCTCAAGGCACCATCCCTGCCAGTTTCTCTGCAGCTCAAGAACTTTATCTTTGGCAGTAACTCATGAGTGGGCCCAGTGAGGCAAACTATCTCTCCCTGTTACAAGAACAAGTTGACCTCTGTAGAATTTCCTTTGGTACAGGACTACCTTGTACCAGCAGAACTATCCAGTACTGATGCCCACAGTTACAGTATACAATCCGGAGGTCAAGCTATAGACGTTAACTCCCGAAGTTATCTTGTTTCAGACATAACAGACCAAAAATACACATTTTAGGAACCCTCTTTTCCCCTCCCCCACCCCTCCTTGCAGTTTCCAGTAGTGAATGATGTAGTTGTATGTTATCACCTAATTAGTATTCTTTAAGTCAAGTTGGCAAAGATTTATTGTTATGCTTTTCAGTGGGCAAGGATTCTTAAGGAGCCTGCACTCTTAGAGGGATTTGGTTAAAGTTTATATAGGATAAACTGTAGTACAACATGTGCCAAATATACTAACTAGGTGA